TTTCTCTCTCTCTCTCTCTCTCTCTCTCTCTCTCTCTCTCTCTCTCTCTCTCTCTCTCTCACACACACACACACACACACACACACACACACACACACACACACACACGCACACACACATACTCACACAAGTCACTGGCATTTCACACCACCGCCTACCTCTATCCTATCATACGTCTTGAAAACTTTCATTGTTTCCTGTTTGATAAAATGTGGTCTGAACTTTCTGTTGACTGCTGCAAACAGCTCCATCTCATCTGCTGTGGTGGAGACATTTTCCATATCCTGGAATAGACAAGTTCACAGCAGGTCTAACATATGTAAGAAATCTTGCTGATTTTAAATAAGCATTCACAAAATGTTTAATTTAAAACTGGAAAATGATCTTAAAGTCCACTGAGGAGCCCTCTTGGTTTGCAATCTGTTTGTCTGTTGACATTAGTTAGGCTATTTTGGTCCAGAGCTTTTATTTTTACCAGAAGTCTCAGTGTACTTCATCTTTTATAATAATTTTACTTTACTTAAAGTATGTACCATGGTGCCATGTCATGGCATTTCATAGAAGCACAATGTCATAGACTCTCAAAAAGTGTGTGTGTGTGTGTGTGTGTGTAAACGAACAACAAACCATGCTGCGTACCATTGGCACACCATACATGCTGACAAGATAATTCAACTGTGGTCGCAAGCTCTCCAAGTCATTCATATGTAATGGCAAGTGCAATGTGGTCTCATCTGATGCAATACCTCCACCTGTACATTGTGAGAAACATTGTGATAATGACAGCAGTTACAACAAATAATGTAAACAAAATATGTATAAATATAAATAAATAAAATAAATAAACCAAAACTGTGAATATATTTGCATTATGTGTCTTATCTTCAATTTTCACAAAATTAACTTAAAAATTTTAAAACCATTCCATATGCATGCCAGCACACTGTTAAAAACCCCTGTGCAAAAGTTACTGACACAAACAAAAGGAAATGGCAATAAAAAATTCAACACTTAACACTCAAAAGAATACTATCAACATCTTCCAATTTTATACATTGTTTTTAGGTTGAAACTTAAAAGTTTCAACCTAAAAACATGCTTCACAACTTGAACTGCAATTTTGCCTACTGTGGCTAGTTCACACATAAATCCTAACATCTCATTCTTTCTCCTTTCATCACATTTTAGAGATGCATTCAGAAATAGTTTAAATTTTAAACTGGAATATAATTCTCAAGTATAATGTACTCACCAGCAGCTGCAGCAGCAAAGCTAATACTAGATGCAGGCAGAGGGACTGTGCTTAAAATAGCTGGATTAATGGGCGGGGCTGATGGAGGAGGAGGGGCAGACATGAATGACCTAGAGGGGGCGCTGGTGGTGGCAGATCCTGGCCGTCCACCTGATCGGGGCCGTGGAGATAAGGTGTCATCTTGGTATCTTGATGTCATTCGATTAAGGTGGGTGTTTTCATCCTGAAAACCATCAGATAAAATTTTTAAAGGTAAAGCAGGAGTTATTTCCATTTTTCTTTTTTTTTTTTCATTTCAGAGGTACTTATGTTAAAAAAGAATGATGTACTTCAATATGTTTTTGCACTGATGAAAATGATTTCCTTTTTTAATTCTCATGCAAATGATCTGCAGACTCTTCATAGCAGACTTGCTACTCTTGCACCCTTTATCTCAAGTTGATAGTCCCCCCTTCTTCAAATCTTGCATAACAAACTCTTTTAACAACATCTCATTATTAATAACTAAATGTCAATTTTTGTGTTTTAAAAAAGGAATATCTAACTTAAAACAGGGATATTACCACTTCTGTAACTTCTGATTTGTCTGGTGCAATGTCAAATTTGTGTGTCACTGGCAACCACTGGATAACCTGTATAATAAAAAAATATTTAATAATAATGTAAAATGTAATAAGAAGGGTTTTTATTGTCTTATGTGTAAAGATGGTACAGAAGGTAATTGATGGTTAAAAAAATTAATGAACTGATCAAGGCCCCTTCATGATGAAGGGTTGAAACACCATGCCTGACAGTTTAAAAACATAGGATGTTTAGTTTCTTTAAAAATAATTCACATTTTGTCAAAATAAAAACAGAATTTAGCAGTAGTAGTAGCAAAAGTAGTAGACAGCATGACAAAAATTGTTGCTCAGACATTTTGTCAAAGTTAAACGGTAGTTGAACTCTTACAAATACTATTACTTCTAATATATCACTAATGTTCAGCAAGAGACTCCAATGGAATAAAATCAGTGTGACCAGAAGAGATCCAAACTGATGTGCCCACTGTCATACTCACCCTGAGATACTGATTAAATCTTTTCATGGAATGAAAATGGCAAACCAGCCATCGGAGGTAGATAAGGAGATCGTCCAGCTTCAGTGATTGTATGGCGGCTTGATTGTCCAACAGATGAGACTCGCGTGCTATCTCAAGGCGTTGAGATCTCTCCAGGCAGTCGTTGTACTCTGACATGATTTGGCTGGAATGATCATGAATTTTCAGGACAAACATATCATACAGTTGTAAATAAACCTTTGCAAAATATCAAAATTACTTTCTATTTTTCAAAAAAGATAGAACATTCACTTTTAACTCAAGATTAATTTTCGTTAAAAATATTATTGACTCTGTTCAATAAGCTGCACTTACTAGCAGTGAATACAGCCTCTTTCTATGGGTAAAGTTTAACAAAAAATGTATTCAAGTAAACCTGAACTGCAGGTTTCTGTGGCATTACATAAAGATTGAGCATTGTGTCGGTACCCAAGAAAGGAGGGGGGTTGTACAGGCATTAATCATTACTGCATATATATATACGTTAAAAGGGGTGACTAGGGGCAGCAGAACCCCCATGTATTTCTCAATGAATACCACTTACCCCAGTCTCTCAGAGTAGTGTGGATATAACGGCTCTATGGTGCTGGTGTGCTCACAAAATCTCTTCCACCTCAGCATATGCATGTGTTTTGCCTGGACAAGCTGGTGAATACGGTCCAGGAAATACTAGAAAAGACATTTGCTGTGCTTTAACCATGTTCATTAAAGGTCCTCTTGCATGTGCCTACCAAGGGGGGGGGGGGGGGGGAAGAATCTAACAATATACTTTGAGAATCTAACAATGTACTGTGTATTTATGTTGAATGAGGTAGTTAAACCATCCCAGTTACCTGTAGGATTGTGTGAATAACAGTTTCTGTCAAGGATGGATAAGGCAGATAGAAATCAAGGAAGGTGTGAAAAACCCACCATCACTACCACTTCATAGACATTTATTCTGAAGATAAAGAGTATGTGTCAAGACAAACTGCAACATGTGCTATTTAATTAGTAACTCACTATATTTTTTGTCCACTGTATTTCACTTCAGTACAGAGCATAGTAACATGAGGGGATTTGCAGTGGAGAAGACACCAGTCTTTTGAAATTAAAGGGCAGAAGCTGCAGAAGAGGGGGGGGGGGGGAGAGAGAGAGAGAGAGAGAGAGAGAGAGAGAAAGAGAGAGAGAGAGAAAAACCAAGCCATCAAAAATTTAGCCTTTGTCTGCAACAACTGTGGCAAAGACTGCCATATATATAAAAAGCACTGCTGGACCTAAGATGATGCAGTCACTGCTTTCTGAGAAAGATAAAGAGTACTATGTCACTTACTTGATGGAGAAGGAGGGGTAAGTTTTGTGGTGTGTATTCATAACTTTCTGCTGAAAGTAATTCTTCTTTCATCAAATCTGCCTGCACTGTCAGAGGTTTGGCTTCACTGACCTGGAATTGATACCAATATAGGTTTTAACTCATAATCACCAGTAATGAAAATGGAAATACATTTTTTAATAAATAAACAAACAAAGAAATGGATGAATGAATAAATTAAATATTGACCTAAGTGAAACATGTACACTCTAAAGACATAAGGCTCAAAATTCTAAATGAAATAAGAATTACATAAAATATGAAGATGTGGCATAGTAGTAGTAGTAGTAGTAGTAGTAGTAGTAGTAGTAGTAGTAGTAGTAGTAGTAGTAGTAGTAGTAGTAGTAGTAGTAGTAGAAGTAGTAGTAGTAGTAGTAGTAGTAGTAGAAGTAGTAGTAGTAGTAGTAGTAGTAGTAGTAGTAGTAGTAGTAGTAGTAGTAGTTTATTATCATCACTGTATGCGTATGATTACATAATAAATATCTAGCGTGCAGAACATTACATACAGGGATAAATGATCAATAAAGGCATTACAAGTATAATATGTAGCGCAATACACTACCATGACAAAAACTTATAGTTCGGTACACCGTTTTTAAAAGCTACGTTTCTGATATTTTCAAGACCTTGTATACATATGAAACGACATACATCTGTTCAATTTACAATTTTGATTGAATCAGAAAAACAGGATTTAATTTGAGATGACAACTGCAGCTTAGCTAGCCACTAACCTCCATAGTTCTGTCAATAATCATCTTCCTCTCTCTTCTGAAGTGTTCTGTGTCTTTTGGAACAGTCACTGAGCTAAAAACAGTGAAAGTTAAATTTAATATTTAACATTTAATTATCATATGCTAAAGATCTAACCTTCACAACAAATGTATTGAATTCTGTTTTGAACAAGAACAGAAATGATGCTCCTGTTTGTAGCCTGTGGTATTAGTGTTAGTCTAATATTTGTGTATTAATTAATCTTAATAGATTTCAATTATTATTATTATTATATATAGAATCACCATATGATTATCTGTGGTGCATTTTACTAACAATAAACTTATCTAGCCAAATAATAAATAAAGTTTAGATTGCCAAAAAAACTGGAAGTATATTTGTTGCAAAACTCATTTTATAGATAAATGTAAAGAACCACATGGGTTCATACCTGACAGTTTTATGGGGTATACCATGGACCATCTCATTTTCCTCTATCTCCTGTTTCAGCTCTTTTAGGTCCCCTGCCAGCTCTGCCTCCAAGTTCTTTATCTTCTCCGTCGAGGCGACTTGGTAAACCTCAGCCATTTTGGTTATAATATCTGCACTAACGAGCATAACATATTTCAATCAATCTTGAAATATTTCTTCATTTTATAAGTAAAATACCTTGCCAAAATAAATTTTCAATCAAATGATAGTTTGGTACATAAGCTGTGCATATCATTTCACAGATCAGAGCTGTTTAAAAATAGGTCTTTAATTGGACACTCTATAACTGTAAATAAATTTTGAAAAAAAAATTTGGTGTCCGATTGTTACAGAATTATGTAAGAGCAGGGGTTCAAAGGATGGTTATTGAAAGGACAATACATTTAACTCCAGAAAAATGCACCTTTAATCATTAATTTAGCACAAAAATTCAGGTGCACAGACAGTACATATCAGAATCGTCAATAGGAGTGCTAACGCATGAATTTTCGTGCTATCGTTAATTAAGACCAAATATAAACAAGGCAGCAAAGCTGTCAAATGTACAGACAAAAAGCAGGAAATAACTATGCACAAAATAGGCTACTGTCAATTCTGATGCAAAAGTACATTATGTTAAACTGCAAATTCAATATCAAATTTTAATTATGCTCAACAGGTAATACCAATGTAAGTAAAATGCGTAACAAGCATAAGGCTTCAGGCCCATGGCAGTTCAAGTTCACACTTTGAAAATGTATAACTTCCAGAAAAAGAAGCCAATTAGACTGCTTTTCCAACTCGGNCCGATTTTCGAACTTGATCTGCGTTTTAGTAAGATTGATTACTCCTGTGAGTTTCATGACAACAGGCCTATCAGTTTTCCTTGAAATGTGTTAACAGTGTTGCATACATGCTGAAAAGTGAAAAAACAGCATAAATTCTACAATAATGGCCTGATCATGCTGATTTTCGAACTTGACCTGCGTTTTATGAATATTCATCAGCTCTGTAAATATAAAGCCAAAAAGTAAAACTGTCTTCCACTTATGGTGTTAACGCTGAAAGTGCACGGCGACATGATCGGCGACGGCGACGGCGACGACAGACGCAGGTGATGGCAATATGTACAGACACATCTGTGTCTGTACATAAAAAAACTTTTTTTTCTTACACCCATCAGCAAATGCTTACTGCAAACTTGTTTAAATTATTTTGTTGACAATTTGCGGAAAAGATTTTTTTCTCCTACATCACAAGGCTTTTGTAATAACCTTTTGTAAATAGGAAAACTGTAAATGGCAACATTTAAAATGAGCCTGCATATTACTGTATAGTGTAACCGATAACAGTAGAATCGATTCATAAAGGCATCTGTAGGATGGCTATTTCTCCGTGTTCACAAAGAAATCAAGTTAAATGTTACTTGTAAAACGCACAAGTTTCCTATCTTTCTGCAGCTTTATAACCAACAACTCCCGAAAGGTGTAAATAAAAATACGCACCTTGTATCTTTGACAAGTCAATAATTGTATACGTCCTCCATATTTGTCCCAGGCAACATCGAAACGAGGCTACGTTGGGAAGGTCAATTTCAAAGAATACATAATCTAGTAAATCAAATATATTATTGTATGATATAATAAATAAAATCTTCATTTTTAAAAGAAATACAATCATTATAAGTCATTATGTATGTGAATATGAAAAGATGAAAATTTTATGCTCAAGTAAATTCTAATGGATTACGTTGTTCCGTGTGCTATTCTTTATGAAATTAAAAGGTGAAGGCCACAAAACAGGTGTCTGACGGTAAAAGTATTCATTCATTTGCTAAATGTCAAAATTCTGCATTTTCTTTAAAGGTGTATGTGTTTCTTTTTCTATGCTGATCGCCTTTATGTCTAAGTAACAATGCATGCAGCCAGTTCGTGTTGTTACACATTAGATTTAAAGCTATACTTATTTTTCTACATACTTATTCCACTGTTCATACATAAATTATGCTTGTGGTTGATTTCCATTGTTATTATGCACAAGTGACCGAATACTTGGTAATAGTCCGTTGTAAGTCGTCAAGTAAATTTATTGAGGAAACTGATGGGGTATTGATACAATTTATTGAAAAAACTGATTGGGGATTGATACCATTTTATCACACCGTTGAATCATTGGAAACTTAGTTTCAGTTTAAGACTAGTTTCTTTTATGATTAAAATAATGAACTCATCAAGTTAGTTATGATGGTAATAATAATAATAATAGTGACAGTAACAGTAACAGAGGAATGAACAAATGAAAAAAAAATTATATAAATATAAGGTTTGTACTGTATACAATACAAAGTTGTTGTATTAATGGTTTTAAAAAGTTGGTGCCAATAAGGTGTAACAACTAAGGATGGGTGTCAGTCAGGTATGCCTTTAAAAAACTACTGGTATAATTGAACACTTCTTTTAAAATCTAAAAAAGAATTAATAGCATTGTATAATGACAGTAATACAATTAACATATCTGATTTTTTTTGGGGGGGGGGGGGTTAGCATATCTGATATTTGTTTCAGCATATAAAACAAAATATCAGAAACCAATGTATGCAGAAATTTCATGAAAATATATTTAAAAAAATTTTACATGTTTAATATGTAAATGCTTTTGAGTCATAGAATAAAGGTCATGAGCAGAGAATGGAGAATGGAAAATTTGTAACTTAAAATTTTAACAGCTGATAGAAGTAAAAATCAAAATTTCTTTAAGGGTGATTGCTTTGCTTTTGTTGATAATCTCTTGACTTAATTTGGCAATTTTTAGTCATTAAGTAAGAATACTTTAAGGCACTATTTATAGTTTTCTTTAACTTGTATTTAACTTTTTTTAGTTTCAGTTATCTCCACAAACCGGAATACTATTTTGGGTGAGCAAGATATGACTGTAAGGTGCTGCCATCTTTTTTACAAATCAGTGGATGGGTGGATGTCTCTTAAATGCTGTAGACTGGAAGGTGGTGCCACCATTGGTGGTGCCAGGAACTAGTTATATATATATATATATATATATATATATATATATATATATATATATATATATACATAAACATAATCCATTTTTGTCTGTAATTTGTTGCATTACTTGGATACATTATTTATTTGGAATTTGTTTCATGTAAATGTGTTTTTTTCATAAAATAATATTTATTATTGCTACTGATTGTTATTGATAATGATAAAAAAATTAATCTACAAACTGTATTTTTAAAAATTTCTTTAACCATATATGAAAATAGCTTTTTTTTATAAATATATGTTACTGCTAATAAATTGTTCAGCTACAGAATCATATTCAGAGTTAATTTATAATCGAAAAAATTTTGTTGCTTGTAGGAAGACAGAATTGGCCCAAATGGGAGTGATTACATTGACAGCAAAAATCTCCAGGTGGCGTCCTTTTTCTTCGTGAGTCGTCTTAGCCTCAGTGGTCAGGTGTACTGGGTTTGTGCTGGTTTAAATTTATAATGACTTGTGTGTATTTTGTTTCAAAGGCAATTTTGGCAAATTCTTGGCAAAGAATGCTCCACCAAAACAAACTGAAGCTTGTGTTTTTTGGTAGTTTTTCCTTGGTGTCCCTGTCAACTTCAGCTTTCCAAACAGTGCATGTAACAGTTTTTTAATCTAGTGTATTATGGAAAAAAATCCATTTTTTGGTCTAAGCCAAATTCATCCCTCAGCATTTATCAATAAGAACCTATGTGTGCAGGGATGAAATTTTTGAACTTTGATCTCTTTGGGCGGCAAAAATATCATTGGCTTAGGTGGCTTTCTGGTCTCTACACCGTATTTTTTTTTACATTTTAACCAAATGGCCTGACCATTCCTGTATGTTTGAACTTGAATTTCCTTAGAAGTTCTTTTACAATTAAATGGAGTTCCAAGTATGGTGCAATAAAGTCACATCAGGGATATGAAGGGTGATATTTATAAGCATGAAGTCAGTGATACAATGCTTATTGATCTCAAAACTATTTTGATAATATAAATACTAGTAAAAGTAAGAATGCCCTTTCCTTATGTACAAGTGGTAGTATCTTGAAAAAGTAAAACGTAACTTTTTGGTGGTAAAAATCCTTTAACTAGATATTTCATTAGTTGTGCCTTAGGGGTTTAGATTTTTATCCTCTATTTTTCTTTGAATAGTTAATAATAAAGGTAATTTGGATTCATTTAAAATATGAGCTTGTTTGTGGTGTTGAAATTCATGCTCAAATTCACATCATACTGAAGCCTTAGAACATGAATAGACAATATTTTGAAGTCAGTGATATATATGTAGAGTTAAATGAAAATTATAGGTCCTTCTCTAAATTAATTTTCGACTTCAATGTAATTGTCATCGTAATTGTTTTCACATCCCTTCCTCCCCCCCCCCACACACACACACACCCATCCTTTTGCATTGTCTACAATTGAATACTTTGTCATTTTGAAATATTTTGCAAAACTTTCTTTACTAGGTCATACCTTAGGGAGACATTGGGCGAGAATTTGGTAAAAGGAGAATATCAGAAAACCTAGGATCCTCATTAATGTGCGAAGTTCAAGAGATTACTCAGGTAAGCAAGACCAAATATGATCATACGATAGGGAAATGGGGGAGATTTCCACACTGACATTTGGGTAACCTTGTGATTTGCATGCCTTAGATGTGTTGCATAATTTGTTTTTGCAAATCTTCCGCCCCTAATACAATGGGCTCTTCTTTGAGTTGTTTTTGTTATTCAGTCTCAGAGTCATTTTATTATTGCAAAAATTATTTTTTAAAGTTACTGTTATGTAATTTTTATGAATGGCCCTTGTGTAAACTTGTGTTCACAGTTCATACTGGTAATTTATTAATAAAAAGAATATACTTATATGCTGCTCTGTTTATTAATAAATCAGCAGTTGAATTGTTCACTGTTAAAAATAGAAATAAATAGGCACTTGTCATTTTCAGACAGACCTTGGCATTACCCTTAATATATATGTACAAATTTGTATGTTTATATTAATATTGAAGTGGAAGTTTGTTATTTGTCTCCTCTGAACAATAGATAAGTGAAGGTTTAATATGTAGTTCAGAAATGAAATCCCCATCAGTGGTCACATTATGAATAATTTGGAATATGTAACAGGGTTTTTTTTCTGGACAATAACCTTCAGAAACAATACTGTTTGTAATCTATATAGTAGCAGTTGTGTTAGCTGGGATTTTGTGTCACTCATGACTAGCAGACATTTAGATGACCACTTCGTGACAAAGCCTATTAAGTTTGTCAGTATTTTTGTCTAGAAACATGGTATATGGGACCATTCCCAATTCCTCTGTACTAGCAGGATCGATTTATCTCCACTGGGTTTCCCACTAAATTGCATTTAGTTTAAGCATGCACAAAAGTTAATTATCCTCCTAGCAGCTTTACTGAGCATTGCAGACATTTAAGCCTATTAAACTGAATGCAATTTAGTGAGAATTCCATCAGAGTTAGATCGATCCTGCTAGTATGAGAGGTTTATGGGAACCCAGTCTGTCTCCTTTGCTTGCACCTCTGAATATCAGATATGCAGTTATCAATAGATTTCCCTGATTAGTAGCAATGAAAAAAACAAGAAGAGAAGATATGATTTATGTTGTTGTTTACAACTTGCTGCCATTTAGGAATTATTGTTGGTTTACAATGAGAACCCAGTCTTTATAATCACTTTGATTACTCTTTTTGTAGAACAAAAACTTTCTTGTGTGATGAAAAATGTGTTAAACTCTCTCCAAATTTTTATTTATTTCTCTCTCCGTATTTTTAAACAACCTTAAGACAAATGGGTTGATTAGTATTTATTTCACTTTTAAGGCATCAGAGGTTGTATATTATTTGGCAAATAACTTGATATGAAAAAATACTGTTAAATTGATAAATCAAAACCTAAGTCTGTTTATCTAAGGAAGGATTACCCTTAGCAAAATAACAGGCCGTCTGCAAACTCTCTTGCAAATTTGCAAGAATGAATTTTATGTTTCTGGAAGTTTGCCACAAATTTGCAAGAACATGAACACTTTCTTTTAACTTAATGCGTTGACTTATATGCAAAGAAAGGTTTTTTTTGATAACCTACCACAAACTTAAGATGCTCTTGCAAATATAATTTGCTGCAAATAAGCAGCAATACAATTTTTTCTTGGAAACTCCTTGCTGCAAATTTGCTGCAAACTTTTCCTTTTGCTGAAGGTATATATTGAAGAAAAACTATTAGAACAATGAATACTATTGTTTATTGAAAATTTTACTGGGCAGTGAACATTTCCAAGTACCTTTAACAATGTCTGACCTTGTGCAGCAGTGCAGTGCAATTAGATATAACCACAGCATGCTTTGATAAAGATCACATTTTGATTGTAATCAAGCTGGCTTAATACGTCTCAGACATGAGATCAACCCTGGATGCCCGAAATAGCAGCTTGCTATAGCTACTGGTATGTGAAGGATACTGTTAGAGATGTGAAATGTGAAAGCCATAATGCAGTTATGTATATTCAGAAAGAAAGAAAACGGACCCTTTGTAGCAGTCTCTAACACAAACTGACAATCTTATTATGTAATGCATTAATATTTGCCAGGAAAACGGCCTTGCACAGCATCTCTTTACACCTACATGAATGATGAAAGCTTAGGAATTACCGTGTCGCATGAAGTTATACATTCAACTAGTTCCTATTTGCCAAAACCATGCAATACATTTTTTCTATCTCTGTCTATTTGAAAAGCATATAATACATAATGCCCTTTTTTTTAGCATTTTCAGTTATCCATTTTGCATTATGCTTTGAAAAAATACCAGTCCTAAAAAGTAATAGAAGAGTTAAATTCTGCACCTAGATTTTTTCTGTTTATTTATTTTCTAAATAAAAAATATGTATAATAAAATATACAATATTAATATATAGACACACATTTGACTGTTAAGGTAGCATTACTACANAACTTGTGATTATGTAAAAGCATGAAATATTTATTCATCTTGGCTCCCAGATGAAAAATATTTTCCGTTGGAATAGAAAAATTAGGTCAGAGTTATTTTTTGAGAGATGAAGTTGTAGAGAATGGCTCATTACTAAAATTGCTAGTCGACAACAAACAAATGTATTTCTTAAAAAATTCTGCAGGTTTCCACTGAACACCTATCCAAAGATGCTGACAAAATAACGAACTATATGTCCGTTTTCGAATTCTACATTTCAATTTTTACCGCAAGAAATAAAAGTCACCAATTTCCGTCCTCATTACTTTGACATTGACTTAAAACGAACATATAGATCGTAATTTGGTTAAAGGTAATGTTTATAGCGTGCATTAGTAATTAAGGAATAGGGGCTTAATTGGACTGATGTGTTCAGAGTGATGAATAATACATTTTTTTGGGTTTTTTTTTCACGTCAAGTTAACCACAAGTAGTCAAAATGAGCTAACTATGCAAACAAGGAAAGGGTGGATTGATAATTTATCAATTGATTTTATTTATCAATCTTACAGCTTGAAGGAAGAAAAGAGAGTAATTAATGTGTGGAATTCGGTTGTCAGATAACAAAGAGGAACTTACGCCTTTTTCACAGAAACCACGTCCGCCGGATTCTTTAGCCTCTAGCCGAGTCACCAAATTCTGACAAAACTGGGCTGTCTCTATCAACTTTTGTTTTACGTCCGCATACTCAGCGCTCAAAGATTGGCATTTTTCTTCCGAAGCACAGCGGGCCTTGTTGAGGTCGTTTAATTGAGCTTTCAGGGTCGCATTCTCCTTTCGCAATTCTTGAAAACTGTTGGTATTTTCCTTTATGAAAGATATTCATCATGACCAATAAAACTATTTTCTTCAATAAAATAATAGAAAAAAACATAAGGAGACGTAAAAAAATAATATAGTAGACTTTGTATAAGTTTTCACAGTATAACTCGAATTACCGATTTCCTAAAATAAATCTTGTGGACCAGATTTTTTTCTTTGTTACTAAATAAAACTTTCTAATTTTCCCAATTATGCAGAGTCTATTGTATAATCAATAATTAAAGATATTTAAAAGAAACATGCAAATGGAAATTTTAAAAGATAGGGAGTTCCTAATGTTAATAAAGTTTAACATGTCACCACTATTTCATCAAAGAATGCGCAACTGGGACAAAAATAATCATTTCAATCTAAATAAAGTAAATTCGATTTATTCGTCAACGTTTTACCACAAGTATTCAAAATTCGTTTTATTCGGCAGAGTTTAGTGATAGGGATGTAATTCAAAGCGATGCGTAGGTCAATGGATTGCGTCAGACAGCTAGTTAAGATGTTTTCCGGGTGTATTGATCTCAAATATCCTGAGTGACAGTGATTAATTGTAAAATAACAAATGCAATCTAACAAGTGTTGATAAGCGGTTAATTACGACGATAACGAATATTACTTTGTCTTGCGACCCGGAATAACCTACAACCATCAAAGAGGGAAACTTTCCGACAACTGTATTTAAATGAGCCGTTTATATGAAGACAGCTGCTGGATATTTATGTTGAATGGGGACATCCATTCACCCTCACCATTTAATTTAAACATTACAATCTCAACGTTGCATAAACATTCATCGTCTATTGTATACCATCGTTTCAATATTTAAAGACTATAAAAATTTAGATGAAGGCTACACAAACGCAGTCGGACCCAAACAAAACAACAAAGCCATAATAAGTTAAATGTGAAAACTAATTAAATGACATCTGAATATGGATATCTCAAGGGCATTTAACTCTCTCACTTATACCTTAGCTATAATATTCTCTCAAGTGAAATTTGAGAGTAATTTTCTCTTTTATTTTTCCTATTCAAAGAGCCACCATAAAACAGAGAAAAACTTAGTTCAGTATTTAATTTAGCACCTAAATATTTAATATGATAAACTATATAATATAATACAATAAAGAGTATCTATATGACGTTCTCCAGCAAGTTAATTACGTTTGTGCCTTTGACGGATTTTGATAATAAATTCAGGGTTGGTCAGAAATGGGCTAACTAAGATTCGGTCAGATTATGATTGATTTTAATTAATAAATTAATTAGTCTTCTAATTAGTCTAATTGAGTCGCCTTAGCGAAGGTCTTTGCTCCAGTCAACAATGTAATATCTTAATTTTCTCACGATATTTTTCAATTTCCTTTCCGACACACGGACGTTATAGATATCACAAAATCTTACAAGTCTATCATATATAACCAAAAGATAAATATTACTAATATTAATTAATCATTAATACATGCAATTGATTATTAACACACTAGTATAAAATGAATATTTACAAAGATACATACCGAACTCGGCAAAGACCAACTCTCAGTGCTCAAACTCCCAAGATTTAATGTCGAATCTTTGGATCGATCTATTTTCCGAGGAAGGCGCCTTGGGGGAGTAGGTTTGCCCCAAACGGTCGTCTCTGGATTTCCCGGGGGTTCTTCTTCGTCTTCTTGGTCTAAAGTGGAGGACTCTGCGTGTCCTGCTGCCGCCATTACTTGAGAGCTGTCAAAATCTGAGACGGTAGGTAAATAAATAAATAAATAAATAAACAAATGATTAATTAATAATTTTAAACTATCAAAATCCAGTCATTAATAATACAATAAACGGTTTCATTGTCAGAACAATCTTATCATCACTAATTAACTTAATTGTAGCTAACTATTTATGACATAGGCCTATTTTATCTACAATAAAGATCAAGATTCAGCGTCACATATCACATATTTTGATGATTCAGTTGTATGGAACTCGATTCATCTGCTCTGTATGAACTAGTAGGCCTAAGTTCTGTCAGGCTACAAATTCAGAAACTCATGTTATGATGTTTGCCTATTCATGTATGTGTAGAAACGTGCGATTAGATGGATCAATTCGGTTTGCACTAGAATTAGCGTATTATCCCAACGGCCTCGAATTAACCATAACCATGATTTTATTGCAAGGGACCGGTATGCCGTGTAATAGATCCGTAATATTATAGTAAAAACGACCTAAAATATTTATGTGGAATGTGATCGAATTTTATTTAATTGCAATGTGATATTCCGGAAGCTTCAAATAATATAAAGTTTTAGCACATAAACCATGTAATACCCATAACGTATCAAATTAAGTATATAGGCCTACACTGTAGCCTACCATACATGTACATACTGATAGGCCTTATATGACGGTAAGTTACATTTTATTTCTGATTAGGTTACCTCTCTCTCTCGTTACAAGTCTTAATTAGTTAGACCTACCCGTAGGCCTACAGTAAGCCCTACTTGCAGGTTACTCGGACTTTTTAAACATGTACCATATCTATTTATTATTGTATTTTTACATTACACCTTCCAGCTAAAATAATATAATTCAAAACATATATCAATGCATGCATCAATCTGAAGTAAAAACACACAGCGTTTGGGTGACGTGAGTTATGACTTCAATGGATTAGAGAGCTACATGTATATGAAGAAGACGCCATATTGCCAAAGTAGGCCTAATTTTATCACATCAACGGAGTCCCTTCTTTATGTCCAAAATAGTAGAAACTTTCTACTATTTTGGACCAAACAATTCTACGGCATATTACCAACCAGAAGCTGTCCTTAAAGTTTGAACGGCATCATACATGTAAGTCTTGTCTTACAATAAGATATATGCCAACCTTACCTAATGTACACTCTCCATCCGGTTTCGTGTATAAAAATTAGGTCGGGGATTCCCCTTTAAAAATGGCGGAATATTGCCTCTGAATATTACTCCATAAATACCCCTTTTCTTGACAATCTTCAAGCGAATTATTGACACCAGTCCCTTATTTAGTCTTTATTACTAATAGTTTATTTGAAAATGCAAAAAGGAAAATGAATATTGAAGAGTAGTTTTATCTTGGACTACAGAAATATAAATGAAGTTTTACCACTGTTTTAAAACCCATTCATTCAAATTGTGCCCTGGAAATCTGGAAATAATTAGGCCTACACAAAAAATGAAACGGAGCCGAAGTTTTTACACAGGTTGTAAATGTTACACAATGGATTAGCGTCAAACTTCACAGTCATCAAGTCAAAACTAGACAAGAATGTTTTATTTTCACAATTATCAAGATGTAGGGCCTAGTAGATAGGATCTTTCAAACATAACATTGTAGGCTATACTATTGTGGTATAGTCATATTGCCACTGTGTTCAATAAAATATTATTATTATTATTATTATTATTATTATTATTATTGTTGTTGTAGTTGTTGTTGTTATTGTTAGTAGTGGTGATGGTGGTGGTTATGGAAAGCAAACATTAACTTTGACAAAGAAAAAATGTTTTTTGGATGGTCAGAGATGCCGTTCAGCTTCCAAGAATAACATATTATTTACTATGTTTATCGCAGGGCAAGGACTGTACTTCCACGGTCCGCGATTTGGAAACAGGAAAAAAACTGCGGCGCTGACCTTCATGAATAGTTGAGCTGTAGCCTATTTTGAAAAGGGATATAGAAGACTGGTAGGCCTACACAGCACAGGCCCGTAGCCAGGGGGGGTTCGGGGGGTTCGAAAGAACCGCCCCTTTTGCTGAGAAAAGGTCCACTCTGGGTAAAATTTGATCTAGGTACATGACGTTTTTATGGGAAAAGGTCCACTTTTTCAGAAAAATAACCCCCCTTTTGAAACTGCTGGCTACGGGCCTGCAGCATGTGTAGTACACATACTGAATCTTAAAGGTCACTATGGATCCATGGACAAAGGCACCTACAATATTTTACAGGAAGAAAGCGAAAATTCGATCTCAATTTTAAAGGAAATGTAAGGATAATGATCTGGACCAGTTCCAGTTTATCGTTATTTTATCTGAATCAGAAGAGATGAAGGGAATAACCTAGTGTGCAGTTGGGTGCAATAAAGAGAGAATTGCACTCTCAGTATTCATGTTTATTTTTCTTAGACTCTTTTGTTAGAGTATAACCGCCAGAGGATCATTGCCCCCCCCCCCTTTAGAAAAGAAATGTCCAAGATCAAAATAATATACAAAAATACACAATTTCATAAGAAGTCCAGACAACGTCAGTGAGAAAAAAACATAAAAAATTAAGGTGCGATTTCAGCAATTTGCGCGAAAATTGCCATCAACAAAGGGAGACAAAACGCGCGTGAATGACAGTCAGAAACGAGCAACGTCTTTAATACTTAAAGATCTACAATTTAAAACCGTCTTCATTCTTCCTATCAGTCCGACTTGCAACAAAACATTCACTATTCCATGATCCTGATTTATTTTTAACGCGTGTAATAGAAGAAAGGGGATTCCCCTAAAATCTCTTCTTTTCAAGCGAGATCCAGTCATCGCTAATGACAACGTATACTGCCCTCGTGCAATAACTAGAAAATATAAACATGAGTACTTTTGATACAGATACGAAATATTTATGTGTTAATTTATCTATTCATTTTTGTTTTTTATTTTAGGGCGGTTACTTACACTAGGGTGAAAACTAAAAGGGAGATTTTTGTGTTGAAACTTCCAAAAAATAACAAACCGCATAGGCTCCTGATCCTTGGGTACATGTGTATTAGCCAACATGGGCTTATAATCAATTCGAACTTAGTCAGTGAAGACAGCGCCTACATATATATAGTTAGACAAACGGAGAAAGTAAATTCACCCGCCGTTATAATACGTACCTCTGGTTGTCAAATGTTCACACGATATGACTTACTCGGCAAATTTTAATTCCGGAGATGATTAATAAAAATGTGTAGCCTATTAGTAATTAGCATTGCATCACCCTTTGACACAGTCAAGATCAGTCAAATAAATGGCCATCGTTGGATAAAGCCAACTTTTGCGACTATACATGTTGTATGTTTTGGCCCTTTCAAACATAGTCATAGTTATAAATACATAAATTTTGAGTTATCTACCAAAGATAAAGTATAATTATTGTTACAACCTTATGTTTAATAGATTACTTATATCTCACTCGAAAAATATAGGTCAGAACATTGCGGAGTGCCTGATATATCTGCCGATAATAAGGAAAAACGATTCAACTGAAATGTTCTCATAATAATAATACATTTGTCCCTTTTTTCTCTGTATTCCCTGTTTATTTTGTTTTCTATGTGTTTTGTCTAATACCCGTTTCTTTAGTGTCGGTGGTGCAAGAGGACAAGGAAGGAGGGGTGGAGGGGTCAAACGCCTACCGTAGGCTTATGTATGTATTTTAAGATTCTACTGCATCTAGACATTCCACACATGTAATGAAGTCGCGACATTTACATGTTACAATATTTCGGTTCCGCTTCAAAGCGGAATGGGCAAAGGTCATGAACAGCCCTTCCAAACATGTCGTTTTCGTTATCAAACTACCAGTTTAAACTAATACTTTTATGTTACAGAGTATAGATAAGATTAGGGAGAGGAAGAGGATGGAATTCGTGAGGACAAACAGCATCAAGAACCGTAGGACAAGAAAGAAAACAAAAAATTTACCCAAATACATTCACTACCCGATCGAACACTTTCTGAACAGCTGCCATTTGTACTGCTAAGTTAAATCTATGGTGCGCCGGCAGGGCGATCAGATTTATATTAAAGTTACGTTATTTTAGTGAAGGGTGGAGGCAAAAAAGGGTGGGTGGAGACAAAAAACGTGGTGCACTCACTTTCTTTCGCAGTTGTGACTTGGTGTTCTTGGGTGACACGCAATACCGGTACAGGAATTCAAAATGTCTGGCGGTGGTCTTTATATACCAATGACTGTGGGGATTCCCCTTTTTCTGTTTACGCATTAACCCCATTCAACAAAACGCGTGAATCCTTGTACAACCATTTTGCCAAAAAAGTGAGAGAGAGAGTGAGAAGGAAAAGAAAAGAAGAATAATCTAAACATATAAGCCACCGACTTTGTTTATTCATGTTACCTTTGCCAACATGTTCATTATAAATGCGGCATTCCCATCAATGATTTTATTACGCGGATCAACAAAAGCTGAACAAAGGACAGTAAACCACGTGACCCCCATTATCTCTCATTTTTCCCCCTTCTCCATCTCTAACAAGCTTAAAGTCTGGACCTATAGAACTGCGACAGCAACGGCCTCAGTTTGCAAAACGTTAGAAGAAAAATAAATCTACGACCAGCAGTCGGTGTATAGTATAGACATGTTTTGCTGCGGCGCGAGTAAAAAGCAAAATGACACAAAACCAAGCAATGTTTCCATCCGATATTACAGTAAATCCCTTTGTATCTCAAAGAATGTTTACCTTTTACAAAAATAAATTGTATTATCAGATATAATTTACTATCCAGCTCTTTTGCTTGTTTTTGTTACATTGTCTTTCGTCTTATTTGTCAATCCACCATTGAATATTTCATTATTAGGCAATCTCTAAAAGCATTGTTTTCAGTTAGAAATATAGAATATTATTCAAATTACAGCATACTTAGATCATGCCAAAAACTCAGTTTGCTTGTGTTATACACGCGACAGAAACTTGGAATTTGATTGTGAAATAAAACCAATCAAATAAAAAAAATATGTGTAACTTTTACATTTATCATCTTTTCTTAACATGAAAACAATTTCTATACTCGCTGAATCTTAATCTTGCACTTAACAACTGGCTTGTTTTTTTTTTTTTTTTTTTTTTTTTTTTTTTACTTATTTGATTCTACTTAACTTAGCACTTGCAATTAGTGAAGGCGTAATCCATTAAATTTACAACAATTATCGTGGTGCACTCGGTCTCAATCAGTACCCGATCTAGTGAAACATGACACGTTGAGAGGAGTCATCACTTAGTAGGCCCTATCTGTTATCTATCAGGTCACGCAATTTGATGAAATTACTGCCAAAATAAAAAAGTACAGATTTTTTTTAAATCGCCAACTTTCTTTGCCAATGTTTATTCCAAAACTTTGAAATGTGTTTACGCAAAGACAAATATGATCATACTGAAAATAAGTAGGGTTCTTCCTGGATCAATTACCAATCAATAAAAATTTACCCATGTTTATTTTAAAGCTTTGGGTTTTTTAACATATTGACAGTAAACATGATCCTAATGAAAATCAATAGGTTTCATCCTGGATTGATTATAAATCTGGGTTTCCAAAAATTACGGCCTCCATTATGAAACAAAAATGTGACTTCATACAAACGAGCAGACCAAAAATACTTATGAAAATATTTCCAAAGTAATAATATTACCAATGATATAATGATATATTTATTTAAAATCTAAAATTCCATTTAAAATGTTCAGTAGACTTTACATATAAAGAGATAAGCACTCTTTAAAAATCAGAATTATCAAGTTCTATGAAATCTAAAATGTTAAAAAGATTGTGATACTTAAAAAAAAAACAGTCTAACTCTCACATTAAACCAAATACACGTAAGAATAACAATTATATTTTTTTTAAATATAATTTTTATACTCTTTAAAGTTTTCTGTTAATTTAACTGAGCGGATTTGATGCTGCCTTTGTTAGTCAGGTTTAAGTTTACTCTCAACCCGCAAACACAGGATGTCTCTATGAGACGTTTTCTAGTAGGTGTATTGTAATAAAAAGGATTAATAATGACTAATAGCATTACACATCTGTACGTTTTAATCAATAGTCTTTTAATTGGGGCTATATGCTTTTTTTTTCACAAAACTGAAGTGACATTTAAAGAACTTTTTGATCCATCATTTAGGCGTTAATAAATGTATTTATGGAAATTGAAATTGAATACAAACTTTCTGAACTTTCTGTGCCTTTTTGTTACTTTGTTGATTCCTTTCATTTCGGCAGACAATTCCCCGTTTTTGTAAGTTTTGTGATATATTTTCTATAAAGTTATTCCATATCTCTCATCATAATCAAGGAAAAATGGGCATTTACTTGCGTACGTACTATTCTATTCTTCTGAGGTTGAAATTCTTTTTTTTTTCATTTTATTCAGTCCTGTTCACATGGTTATATGTATTCTTTCTTTTATTTCTAGGTTGTAGAGGAGTGAGCCAGAATTGAAAACAGTTTGTCTTTACAAATTTGCATCATTTCGTAGAATTTAAAAAAATACCATGCACTATCACCCAGCCGTATTTTACATTATAAAATTTTTTAAGGCACACACAATGGACAATAGAAGTGTCACCCCCTGAATCAGGGTAATCAAAGTAGGTAGATCTTGAGTAGTTATAATGCCTGGTCTACTTATAATGTGATTAATGAGTATAAAACCGCTGCACCATGGAATTGTATTGTTGGTCTTTTTGTGAAATTTGATGTTAATAAAATGATACCAGGAGCATATCATTCCACAGTCATTTATATCCCCCAAAGTACTGGTTCAGTAGGGGTGACGGACGTTGCCCCCCCCCCCCCCTCTCCTCGGAAACCGCAGCCGGTGTAACGAAATTGAGGGTCTTTGTAACAGAAAGTCTGTCCTCCATTTAGCTGTAATGGTTAGGGTTATTGACCTTAAGTGGGTCAAAATATAGAGCGAGGGTGACTGCCTGTACAAATGAATGGGAAGCGGATTCTCTGTCATGGGGGGCTCTCTGTAACGTTACACCGGGCTACTATAACTACAGGCGATGAGTGGGAATAGTTTTAACCATGGGATTATATCACATGTTCAGACAAAAGAATAAATAAAGATTAAAGCTTGTCTTCCTTTACTTCATGTCAAACAATAAAAAGTGACAATTAGTCACGACCAGTTGAAACTGTGGAATTTTGAGCAGGAAAAAGTCAAGAACGAAATTTGACCTTTTCCTGAAAAATTTCCTGATTTTCTTTAGATTTGATAAATGAGCAATTATAAAGATATTCTTCTTCTTCTTCTTTTTCTTTTGTGCCAGTCCCTTCTCTATTTATAGACTAAATTTACCAAACGAATGACAAATATCCTGATTGAAAATATCCTATATAAATACGTGGTGTAATTCTGGTATACCACTGACGTCTATACTAACAGCAGTAATTAGTATAACATAATTATACCACAGTATTTATCTACACACGTTCGGATATATCTTTATATTAACATCAGCCAAAAACGAATCGTAACCATGGGCTTCTGCATACCGGTAAGTGACGAAGAGAGTCAGTGTTGTGTAAAAAGTGATTCTTTCTTTCTTTTATATTATTTCTTTAAATGCAGTTAATTTTCCAAAATATTATGACAATCTCTAAGCTGTTACATTAGATGAGAGAGAGCGAGCGAGCGAGCGAGAGAGAGAGAGAGAGAGAGAGAAAACCCATGACCTTACTACATGTACTTTAACCCCTCCGTGTTCCTGTTTTGTTTTTTATTTCTTTTCGCGTCTGTTAAGTTCACGACATTTAACACCAATCATGAGTGAGCTTTGGACATTAAGTTTAATACAAGCAGAAAACCTCCCAGAAGTGTTTTGATTACTAACAGGACTTTTCCAAGGATAAGGGGTACCGGCCGTCCAAGATTATATTACCATCTTAAATTTCTTACAAAATTTCAGGGAGTCCAACTTTTCCAAGTTCCGTGAGAGAGGGGGGGGGGGTTAAAAGGCTAAATGCTTCCGGGTCTCTCACTGACGACCAAAGTACTTTATTGAGAATATCGAAGACTGTCCACGGCCCTCCCGACAATCCAAGCCGCCATTTTTCAAAAATTTCGTAACCCGCCCAACCGTCTTTGAAAGTTTAGACGGTCCGGTGCTACCGGTGGCCGTCCAAATGGCGGCTGGACGGTTCGGTGGGAAAAAAAGGCTTCATTACTAATCAAGCATTCGGAAATGAATTCGCATTCAGGACAGATGATCCGCGGACTAACAAATCCGGGGATGAAATATGGCCGACCCCACTAAAATGCAAACCGCTTAATCCCCTTGTGGTCTCCCCGCCTCCACACGCGCCATTAAACGGATAAAATCACTGCTCCGAGGTTTAATTGCTAAGCTACTGCAGGGACGGCGCATGCGCAGGCAGGGAGAGATCATCAGCGGATTGGTCGGCTTTGATTTTAAGTGGGTTGGTCATATTTCATCTGCGGGTCTGACACTAGTCCGCGGAACAGCTTGTTCTGAATGTGCTAATGCTATCCTGCAACGAAACTTTCCAAAAAAAAGGTATACTTGAATCATGCGATGACCTGGCTCATTGGAATTAAAACTCAAAGTTAAGTGCTCTCTTTGACCACATTCTAACTGCAGTGTTTCTAGCTCCGTGTGATTCATGTCAGCGAAAACGTAGAAATTCCATGTCAGGAGAGTCTCCGACCATCCCATACAATGAATGTGCTTTTGCGTTCGTTCGTTTTGATATTATTTTGATATGAATCATCGTTCCGGTGCAATATACTTTGTGCTGCGAACAAGTAGTTTTATCATAATTGAACATATTGACGATCAGACAATAATGGTTGTAGTTAATGACACCGTCAATGAAAGTCATTTCTATGATTTAATCAGGTCCGTAGAAGGGGATTTGGGGGGGGGGGTCTTAAAAGAATCTCTAGGTCCTATGCCATTTATCAAGTGGGGTCAACTATAATGGGGGGGGGGGTCACTTTTTCTCAGAAAAAACTACCCCACTCCCGCAGAATACAGGGCTGTAAACTGAGCAAATTATTTGCCGCGGCATAAATGATAGCTGTAGCCGCTCCTATTCATTCATATATGATGCGGCACTATTGACCTGTATTTAATACGTTATTCCTACCATTTCCGAGAATTTTAATCACTATAGCGTTCAAATTAGGAGCCAAAACGTCACTTTCATTAACTAAAGCTGTTTTCAAATGGTGGAAACGACATGTTTTTTCCCTGCCATAGATTAAGCTGTTGATGAGTTTAGCACGGCTTGTATGATGAAATCGGATCGGCGAATGGATAACAGATGTCAATATTTCATGAAAGAATTCATAAGTTTCTTTTTTTGGAGAACAGTCTCTTTCTGCGGAGGCCTTGAAGTCAGTATTCAAAGTTTACAGCAGAAGTTTTTTTTTAACTTGCACATTTTTGCGATGTTGTACTTCCGCAAGTAACTGCGTCCTTGAACCACGTTTGTATAATTATTTATTAGCAGCCATTGCGCCACGGTAACTAGGTATATTTGCTGAATTAGACCGATTAGATACATATGCTGAACCGCTCGGTTCATAATATGCGTGTCGTAGGGATATTTGCATTAAAAGGATTGAGTTGAAAATGAATTATCCATCGCGTCGATATCATAACTTATGGTTTATTGTTTCCAGAGACAAGAAGTTAAAATAGTTGTGGTAGTACTGGCTATCCTCACTGGGAAAATCATTGCCGCTCCAGCCTCAGAAGAGCACGCTAAACTTGCCAGCAAGTCGAGAAACGTACGCCAAACAGGTCATGAAAGGTGTCCGGAGAAAGACCAGAGAAAGCTGGAAGGTGTGCACACGGACTGCCCGTGGTATTATTGTGTGAATATAGATGAGAATAGGTAGGTAAAGGTCTCTAGGGAATGTATTAACTATTAATTAATTAATTAATTAATTAATTAATTAATTAATTTTTCGCTTATTTATTTATTTGTTACGCTATTAATTTTTTTTTCTTAAAAAAATTATTTTGGGAATCAGTGGTTGTCTGAAGGTCTGTGGATCTTTCCGCCTTCCTGTGCTTGCAAACATTCTCTTATTTCTCGTTCTTTTTTATTCCCTTAAGTGTCGCTCACAATTACAATGTTCAATATGATTATCATGCTTCATACCATGACATGCAGTTTCTCGATTTCACAACTACAAGTAATGATGATAATGGTTATAACACATTATCACATGTTCAACTCTCGCGCATGCACCGTGTCCCGAATGATACTCATTAGCCTATAGGGATCAATCCCAGACCCCTATCGTACAAACTGTGGATCGATCTATCTCCAAGGGGATTCTTGCTAAAATGCAATCAACTGAAGCAGCTTAGATGTCTGTCACGAGTACCGAAGCTGGTAGGGGGTTATTACGGTTAATTATCGTATAGCAGCTTCGGTAGGCGTTCCAGACCTAAACCGCTTAAGCTGAAAGCAATTTTGCGAGAAACCCCTAGGAGATGGATCGATCCTGTTAGATCGATATAGGTATGGGAACCCAGTCTATACACACTGTAATAACCTGCCGGTTGGTTAGTCAGGTTCTTAGATTTCTTTTTCACCAGTAAGACAACTGAGACAGGCAGGTGTGGTTTACCCTTCTACATGGTTTATTCAACTGACTGTACAACTCAGGTCTTTGCTCTCTTTCTCCATCTCTCTCTCTATATATATATATACGTATCTATATCTGTATGTCTCTATCTATATGTCTATCTCTAAGTCTTCTATATATCTCTCCCCCTCTGTGGCTTTGTTGCTGCTTTTATACTCGATCTTAATTTACATTTTAAATGAACTTCCATAACTGACATGCAACGTGCCATGCTTATATACTTTTCAATAACTTAAACAATTAAACAAATATGCAAATCACATGCATGCAAATTTAGACTATCAGTACTATTAACGGTTCACTACAACACGAAACACTCTTGATGCACCGTAGCTGACGCATACATAGACGCGTGCATACACTCCTACATATAAATTAGACACATTCAAACATAGCAAGGTGATCGAAATTAAGAAAATCGCGATTATCACGCCCTTTTCTAAGTTTCGCTTTTTTGCTTTCACGCATAAAAACAAAATAGCTATTCACTTTTGCTNGTTCACTACAACACGAAACACTCTTGATACACCGTAGCTGACGCATACATAGACGCGTGCATACACTCCTACATATAAATTAGACACATTCAAACATAGCAAGGTGATCGAAATTAAGAAAATCGCGATTATCACGCCCTTTTCTAAGTTTCGCTTTTTTGCTTTCACGCATAAAAACAAAATAGCTATTCACTTTTGCTAGATGTGGTAATAGTACTGGCGCTCACTAGGGGAGCCACGGTATTTCCTGTTGAATGTGCTCAAGTTTTCAGTCTCTACAATCATGCTTTTGTTTTCGATGTTCACGATATTCTTTTTGGTGTATAAAATACTTGGTTTCGCGTGGTGCGTTTTCTTTCACATTCGACTGGACATACAGGAAACTGCGCACTCGCTTGTCACAACAACATCTGCTTCTTGCGCTCACATTAGAGATTTTATGCCCCGGTAAAAAGTTTTAACAATGATATAATTTTACTCTTGGGGTTGATTATTTTGGATTCGATCTGGCAACGCTATTGCGTTCACAGAAGAGTCTTTACATCGATGGAATCGCGATTAGGCGATAATCGCAATTCCAAATGCTGTGAATGAATGGCCCTATTGTCCAGCAATTTGATGAAAAAATGTGTATTTTACCACCATGCATGAGAACGGGATTCTAAGCAATTTTCGATTTAGGGGAATGTCTGAAAATTTCAACATGGCCATTAAATCCAGTATGGCCGAAAAAATATCCTTTCAAGATAAAAATTCAATTATGTATTCTTTTAATGACACTTTATACAGTAAGCTTTAAAAATTAAGCTCCGGACTTGTCTTTGCTTGGAGAACCAATTTTTGCCGACTGCTACCTCCTCCAAAGTTAGGGTTTTGACAATATTTTATGGTAAAATTTAATTTCAAGCTTCACCAGTGTAAATTATGATGAAGGTTAAACACTGCACCCTTTTCTTCTGTTACTTTTTTGCGAGAATTGTTTAATTCGATTTCCAAGTGGTCATAATCCAGTAAGAAATTCTGTCCTGGTGGCATTTCGCACGGCAGTCGGAGATACCCAATTTTCTTATAACATGTTAATCCAATAATTTTCCCTTTTTTCTGCACTCCTAGGTTACCTGTATATATAAACGTCGCCATGTGCCTGAACAGCAACGAATTCTCGCCAGGATTTCAATGCGAGCGTGTCCTGTACAACATGGAAGTACATCGCAAAAGTCCCGGCGACGGAGAGAACGGCTTAATAAAATCCCACCAAAGCATTCCCGTTGCTTGTGTGAAAACAAACTTGGTCCGTAAATCTTCCAACGAAAGAACCACAACGGAAGATGAAGAAGACCATCCGCCACCAATGATAGACTAGGTCAATTAGTGTCACCCAGAGAGAGAGAGAGAGAGAGTACACAACAATCTTTCAAGGGCATGAAATGAAAAGGCATTAAAATAAAGGCTCGTGGTGAAAATTACCATGCATATCTTCATTCCACATAAATTATAAAAAGATAAGAAAAAGGGGCAGAAAGTGAGCTGAAATGGTAAATGTGAACTGCAAATGTGTAAATGAATGTATATATGTGTGTGTGTGTGCGTGTGCGTGTGTTCATTCATTATACTTTTAATGAATAGATCTGTTGTGATATTTAATTGTTATGTGTATTTTTTACCGATGTCAGCAAGTATCTCACGTATATATCCTAGGAAACTTCAGGATATAAAATATTTTTGACGTTTTTGTATTTTGTATACACTTTTGTATTTGATAAGTGAATGTTTACCCAATTTAATAATCACATGTATGTCTAAAGGCCAAGCCATTATTACATACGATAATTTATCAAAAATAAAATGTATTTTTCTATAACTTCTTTATTTTACTTCATTTAGTTTTACTATACTGCTGTAGTGTTATTTATGGTACACAATTCTCTTCCTTCCCCTCCTTATTTCATGCTACTTGGCTGTATTGTCATTAAAATGCATACAAAGTTAATTTTTCGCCAAAAAACCGACCAAATGCCAGCATACAGTTTCAAGTAGTATAACTATGAGAACTACCAAAAGGCATTGTTTAATTTTACCCGAAAATGATGTTTGAATAGATTTTTCTGCTAGCATTCTATGCTGTATGTCAATTTGGCAGAAAAGTAGGTCACGAAAATAGGTTAAATTTCCGACCAAAAATTTAAAGAAAGGAGCAGTCTAAAGGTCTTTTATGGCTGATCGAGTGATCTATTCATTTTATCCCTTGGCATGTCGAATTTATTTGAGTCGTATAAGAAACTAGTAGTAGTGGTTTACAGGTGTTACTGGGAATCCACGCTCCACCGATGCTCGGTTCGTATGTACCTTTAATCCAAACCGATCGAAGGGATTAATCAGCGCGAGTTTGATTAAAAGTACGAAAAGTGGTTCAAATTGCTACCAAGTGACGGCTGCTCCCTGTTTATTGACAAAGAGAGCCTTCGCAAAAAAGTTGATCCGCAGACTACCTAGTCCGCGTATCAAATATGGCGCTCCCAAGGTGATCCCATGATCACCGTCCATGCAGGGGCAGAGCAACTAAATCTCGGCACGCTTTCAAATGGGTGGCGCCATATTTGGCCCACGGGTCTACTAGTCCGCAAATCAGCTTGTTCTGAATGTGCCCAAAGAGGTGGTGGTTGTGCACCCGCGGGCGGATCTGTAGGTATGTTCTGAGAGGCTGAACTTGGCAAATGTCCGGAGTTTGGCTGTTTAGAGTTACTCTGTACAGAGTTGATCGGCTACAATGTTTGAGTGGCGTAAGGAAGATAGTGACAAAACGTGTCCACATTTACATTTTATGCTGGATGGTATGAACAAGACCCTTGTCTCCGAGCGTAAATTCGTGGATACACAGTACCCTCTACAGGCCCGTAGCCAGCAAATTCAAAAGGGTGGTTCTTTTTCTGAAAAAGTGGACCTTTTACAATGAAACTTGTGTGTACCTAGGTAAAATTTTACCCAAAATGGACCTTTTCCTGACAAAAGGGGCGGATCTTTCGAACCCCCCGAACCCCCCTGGCTACGGGCCTGCTCTACCAAGGAGTTGTAACCCCTTGCCTCTACCAGGGCCGCAGTTATTATTGTGGACATTTTTTGCTGATGCTGAAAGTCAAAATGGCCGGCTATTTATCTATAGACATATCTGTGAATATCTGTGGAAAATCAGTCTGTCTCCCTGGTAGAGGGTAGATACACAGTAGGCCGCAGAAAGCCGTAGTATACATAGCTTTCATCATGGTCGCCTCTTAGAGTGCATTCCCAGAGATTTAGATCGATCCATCCGGATCGACCTAACTTCCTGGGGGTTCACGCTAAATTGTAGTCAGCCGAGCGAGTACCATAGTTAATTACTCCCTTACAGCTTTAAGTAGGCGGGACAGACGCTTAAGCCGGCTAAACTGACAGTAATCTAGTGAGATTCTCCACAGGGATAGATTGATCTAAAAAATGTGGGAATGGGGTCTTATTCGTCCTTTGTTACCGTGTGATTTCCATGCAACTAACACAATTTGCAATGTAGATTGGTCATTTGCTTTTGTATTTTAACAACAATGGTGAGCAACATGACAACATATAAATAACGGCGAACAAAAATAAATAAATGAATAAATAAATAAAATATCCTCTGATTGGGCCAGCGCCTGCACATGGACCTAAGGTCAGATTCAATAAGCTTATTACTTGCATCCTGCGAATTTAATTGTAGGTAACAGTGTAAACCATATAAAGGGACGTTCAGGTACAGTAATTTTTATATAGTTCTATCTAAAAGCCACAATTTCGCCTTCATTGCGCCCAGCAAGTGTTTCAGTGCGCCGTATATGTTGACATGCGCACAAGAACAAATGGCGCCTGTGGAACGGCAACCGCGTTAGCTTCTGGGCAGAAACCGCCAAATAATTTCGCATTGACGGTCATTAAGAAATGCCTGCAAAAAGGCATGAAAAAATAATTTGGTGATACATTTCCTATCCCCATGGACAGCAGACACACTGATATAACTCCCAATGGCACACAGATATACTGCTGAAAATTAACTTTTCTTACCGGCAGTACTTGAACACGTGCACCCCTCTTGTTTGTAAACAAACCCCTGCACCGCTCACAGTCAGTGACTCCCTCCGCCAAAGGTCCCATACTGCACGGCACCTGTACCTGGTCCTGAAAAAAAAATGCAGTAGTTTACACGCTAGCCTGCTAATTGACACCAAAATTAACCCTAGCAACATCTAAGAATTGAAAAAAAAATTGGAAAAAATCACTATTTTTTCTCACAGTACTTCATCTTTAGTAGTCCCTGATTGGTCTTTTTGGTAGATTCTGCCCTTCAAATGTTGTTTTTATCGGGGATGGCTCAGCTGATTACATACCTCGGTGGGGGTTACAACCACGTAGTAAGCATAATTGCCTATGTTATTAGGATATTTTTCAATATAGTCGAGATTTCTTTGTATAGTCTTAATTATCACATACTAAAATCCAAATTTTTTTTGAATTTGAAAAAAATGTCGTATTGTCCTGCAAATCTTTCTTAATTTGAACTGCACATTTTGAACATGTACACGTAAAGGGCTATTGGAATGTTAGCACGAAATCTCAGGCGTTAGCACTCCTGTTTGATATTTTTTGACACATGCTCTAGATGTTTGCACATATACTTTAACTAGTAGTACATAAAATGTTTAAGTTGGAGTGCCAAGTCGTGAAAGTTGGCAACCACATCTGATATGAAATCCATTGCAGACACTTTGTGTAGATCGTGCATTGCTACAAAAATAGTTAACTTTGACTTCACGTTAATTACTGTCGGCCGGCTTTTGCCTCTGTAACAAAATTTCAATTGATCTCCTTTCGTAGCGCTGACGCTTTGGCTGTAGATTTTTCCATGGATGCATTTTTGTATTGCCGGCCTTTCCTCCACGAGCGGATCAACACAACTATCGCTTAACAAGCTTAAGGTTCTTTTAAATAAAATTATAATGTTCATTTTTTTTTTGAACTTGCAAATACACTATATTTCAAGCAAACTGTGTTAAATTATAAGAATGCAGTAGTTTTTCTTTACTCAACAGTTTAAATCACCTCCAATAATTTGATATAAACTACAAGACCTTTTTGTTATCTTTGACGCTCAACAACTTCTTTCACAAGTATTATCGGTCGCACGTTTCCCACTTGGCGAAGCCGTTTCGAGTGAATAACCAGCATTGCAACACGAGTCTATTGTTTGACTGTTCACGCAGCCACCAAAGGACGAAAAATATCGAGAGTATTTAATCAGGGCGCATGTATAACAGGTTGATCCCCGGACTAACAGATCTATGGATCAAATGTGCCCGACTCACTTAAAAGCTTGCCGCATAATCTCCTAATAGACACTGAAGAGATTCCCTGCCGTTGTCAAACGGGAAGCTTTCAAGTAGGTCGGCCATATTTGATCCGCGGCCCTGTTAGTCTGCGAATAAACTTTGGTTGTGAATGCGGCCGATTATGGATAAGGAGGCACAGAGCCGGGGGTGGGGGTGGGGGGTGGTGGGTATGGGGGGGGGGGGCGGGGAGTAGGTTTTCTCTGAATCAAAGTTTGATTTAGGTACATTCGGGTCAACCGGGGTGGCGGGTGTAATTGTAATCCAGTAACGGGCTGTAAAAGTATTCCTGCGGACCTCGGTTCCTAGTATAGGCCCTAATGGTTGGCCGTAGTGACTGCTCTCGTAGTTGTTCATTCAAGCAGATCATGCCTCTCTGTTTGCACCAAGAACAGGCCTCATAAACGATAATTGCCGTTTACTAACACTACCCGCAGATCTTTTAGCACTAACGCCCACTCAACCCACGAATTAACCGACACACTGTAAAAATATAGCGATACCTATAGCACTAACAATTTGGCAAGCTTCAGTCGCGTTTCCGCTTTTTTTACATACGGGTACTTTTTATCAAACCGGACTATTTTCAGTGTGGCGGAAGGTACGAGAAACAGCATGGTGAAGCTTTGGAGATTTCTAGTCGCAAAAGAGTGATATGTTCTCCTCTTTCTGCGTCTTTGACTTAAGAGAAAGGATTTTTGACGCCCAAGCCAAGACCGCGCCCAAAGAATGACGCTACACAAATAGGACACAAGAAAAAGTGATTCAACGAATCTCAACACCGACTCAGAAATAACTGTTTTCATGTATTTATACTTGAACCTTAGAAAAGTAGACGAACACATATAAAAAAGTCCCAAAACAAAAGTAATATAGCATTTATTTATTTATTTATTTATTTATTTATTTATTTATACGGCAACAATGCGTTCTCGGCAATTTTCGACTCATACGGAATATACCGAACGGGTAGATAAGCGGATAAATGTTAGTGCTAGGAATCGATATGGTAATAGTAAATACTTATACGGCGTGTCGGTTAATCCGTGGGTTAGTGGTTCATATAGTCGTTAGTGCTATTTGCGGGTAGTGTTAGTAATCGCCTTATCCGTTTATAAGGCCTGAAGAAGTATACAACTTCTTGCACAAACACACAGTATATTATATCTAGTGATAAGGACCCACAATCCATTCTCTATACACCCAATATAGAGGTGCATTTAACATGCTGAAGTGTCCAAAATTAATATTGAGTGAATTCAAAGTTGTATTCAAGTTTTTAAAACATATAAGTGTATAGAACAAAAATCCGCAACTGTCTCATTTTTAATTCAATTTTTAATTTTTTAACATGTCTTTACATTACGTAAAGAGCCCTAAATGGTAACGTATGTTCCGGTAACGTTATGTTCCGGGTCATTTAAT